CACCGAAAAAAAGTACATTTAATTACCTATAACTCACTTTTAATTAATACTAAAAGGTTTGTCAAGCAAGGAATTTATTCAATTTTTTATTAGCTTGAATTTTGGTAATGTCAACTTTTTAATAAAAACTTATAGTTTTTGAGTTATTTATGAAAAACCGCTTTAAAACATGCATTTTTTCACGAAAAATCAAAATCTGTGATCTTTAATACCTCAAAAAGTATTGATTTATTTTAATAACTTTATAAGATGATTTGGTCTCTATCGATTTCTGGGGATATTTTTAATAAAATAATTTCCACCCCCGAGAAGGGATGACATCCACCAACAGGGTAAAAACCATCGAGCAATAAGACAAAAGAGGGAATGTAAAGGTAGAAGGGGTAAACATATTGATAGACAGGAAGTGCCATCTTGAGAGGCCACTTTAGACAAGGATAGAGAGTCTCTCTCCTTGTTTGACATCAAATTTAGTTGGGTTATGTTATTGTTTGTCCCAAATGTCACATGAAATCTTATTTATATTGAAGGTTTTTAACAATTGTGTCGCATTTTAGACTCTTATCATTAATAATTAATTAAAACTTTCTCGTCTAAGACACATTTTGAAAAATATTATATAGCTACTGTTGATAAGTGTCGAAAAATTTAAATTTGGCGCCTTTGCATTTCCGGATGTGTCCGCCATCAGAGGCCACTTTTTTGGTCTCCTTTTTATAACGATTAGATTCCCTCTTTTGTCTTATTGCTCGATGGTAAAAACGCAAGTTGACACCATGTCACTTTTGTTTTTTAAGGTATCCTCTAACTACTCACCAATTTTCATGAAAATCGATGGAGGTTCAACGAAATCAGAGTGAAAACCTTCAGTGAGTGTACTATAAATGTCATTATTAAAAAAGTTATTACCATTTAGAAACTACTTAAAAAATAAGGGTTTATTGCAATTATTTAGGTCAATTTTTACGTATTTAAATGTTGAATCTCGGAAATTAAAAAACATTTTAATATCTACAGTAAAAAGTTTATTTGAATCAGCCTTCGCTAAAATTTATAAGAAATGTTTTATAGTCAATAAAATTTTTAGTTTGTATGACTGTTTAAAAAAAACAAAGCAAAATCAGCCGTATGTCTGCAAGGATTTGTCATCAGCTATTTCTTACATACCTTTTAGAAAATTCAAATTCAAAAACCTGTATAAAATGAAATCGATAATTTTTTTACAGGTTGACTGGGGTAATTTCAATACAAAATGTGACTTTCCTTTGGAAATTAAGATTTTATATTAAGAAACCAATATTTAAAATATTTTTATAACAAAATTGTGCATGGAAAACTCAAAAAATTTTCTCAATAAATGGCACAAGCGGACAATAAAACAACAACAACATAAATGAAATATATTTCTCTAACATTCAATGACAGTACTGCAGCTACAATAAACAAAGATAACATGTAATATATATTTTTGAAAAGCTGCTAATATAATTCGTCCCTCTTCGTATGCCTATCGTATCTATAATTATGACTCTTGTAAATTGGCATATTTAGTAATGTAGATACGTTTTAGGCAAATAGAAGACTTTTTCAATCTACATCTGACTAATACTGAACGTTGCTACCCTTAAATCTAAATCACAGTCATGTTAATTGCAACCTTCGGCATTTTTAACAATTGATACTACAATGGCGACATGTCGGATGCTGGAAGAGTTGTATCTGGTGTTTCTGGAAATAAACAAATGGCAAATTGATTCAAAATAAATTACCGATAAACAGAATATTGAGAAAAAGAAGAAACAAGAAAGAGATAGAAATAACAGTAGATAAGAGAGACATTTTCTTTTTTGTTGGAATTATACTCGCCATGTGGGTTTTAATCTGCATACGCATGATTATTATTGAACGTTAAAAGAGGGACTATAAAGAAAAGATATAAGAAAAGTAGATAGCAGAAACCTTTTATTGCTAAAGCTAAATCAGTTTAACATTTTGGTTTTTAGCAATGATTTTTCCATGGAACGGTTCATTATAAATAAAAGATAAAAGAAACGAAGTATGACCTAATAGATATGACCTAATATCTCGCAATCATTTAAGATGTAATTGATTGTTTTAGATTCTTTGCTACAGAGTATGCAGCTTGAGTCTTCATGAAACTGTCCCATTGTATGCAGATCCCTTGACTGGCGCATGTCCACCAAGGAAGTCCCCTGTGACTCTGAGCTGATCGCTGCTTGATTTATCAAGTAGCTTAGCTCTGTTAGTACATATCCGTCTAAGATATTTAAGTTACTTGCATAGACTATTTACTCAGCAACGACAAACATAATGCCTGTTGTTGGTGAGTCCAGTTATCAGCCCATTTATAAACAAATTCCATAAGAGAGGAGATAAGACTCCGTCTGCGGATAGCCTTTAACTAACTGTGCTCACACTGTACCCTCCGGTAATACATCTTCAGCTTTTTCGCTTATTCCTTTTAGACGAATCGTCCTTGTGATGCTTCGTAGATGATGTTGTTGAGTACACCCTCTATATCAAGAAATGCACCGAGCATGGCAACGACACTGAAGGATCTCTGTATGTCCCGAGATGGTGCAGTGCCGTTACTGTCCTGCTCTAAAGCATGCATACTGTCGTTGATACTACGTCATACTAAAATGTGAATGACATCAGGCCCTTAGGCCTTTAAAGCCCTCCTTATAAGACTTTATAATTTTGTCCGCCAGTCCAGTCCTAGGCGGTAATTTATATGGCTTAAATGAGAATATTGTTCATTTTATTTTGTTCTGATTTAGGGCTTCTTTTATTTTTTTCTTGTTTATCATCCAATTTTCCAAGTCTTAAGTCATGGTATTGTAGGTTCTGATTTTTGTTTTAGTAGTAATGCTTTTGTTATGTAAACTCTGTTACGTTTGTTTTAGTCATTATTTATACCATTCTCAGTTTTTAGTCTGTTTGATGAATCCTAAATACTTAAATAGGCTTTTTACTTTGACTTATTTTGGTTTGTATTGATGTTTTTTTGCAATTACCTCTTCGGTTTTGTTTAGGTTGATCTTTATTTCATGTCTTATGTATTCCAGCTCTAATTCTCTAAACATAAAACTGATATGGTCTTTATTTTAAATTATGACTACTTAGTCATCAGCAAAACTTAAGATAATAAATATTTGTATTCCATCCATTCCGTTGCACTATATTTTCAATGGTTTCAGAGTATTCTCTATTTTTTTTAGAAATTTCAGTTTATCTTTACTTAGTTTTGTACCTTGATTGAAGCCTTCGTTCTTGCGTTCTCCAAGAGTTTCTAGGTCAGCTTTCTTCATGCATGAAATAGTCATAGAAAAGAAAAGTGCTACGTAATTTAAAGTTAAAAATAAATTAACACACGTTAAAATTTTGTGCGTTAACTAAGAAATTAAAAGATAAAAAGACATATAAGAGATTATTAGAAAATGTCACTAAAGTAGCTACAACAATAATGAATACTCACTATACTCTGATTGACTTCAAGTTAGTTTGGAACTGTCTTCAGAATCTAATTTGGATCGGAAAAAATAACAAAGTGAGTTTACTCTAAGTGTTTCGAACACATTGGTATTGAAGAGAACCAAAACAGAAGACTTATTTGCCAAGAGACGGGTAAAAGAAACATTTATAGGCCCAGAACCTTTTTTGGCATAGCAAGAAGCATAGTAAAAAGAATAATAGCGAACTGGGTGGAACCGATGAAACGTAACCATGGATGGTACGAAGAAACAGATCTTAAACATTCGAAGGCACATGTTTTATTTTATGTTATTATCAATTTAAATATTTAACTAATTGTCAGTTTATTTTACTGGATTATTTAGGATTACAGAAAATACACTTACATATTTTAAACTACATCTTACAACAACGATCTTAGGTCTGTTAACAGGACATTGTCCTTCTCAAGGGGCACATGAACAAAATCGGGCTAACAGAAAGTGCGAAATGCAGATTCTATCAGGTTGATGACAAGACAACGAAACACGTTCTATGCAACTGCCCAGACTTGACTAGGATAGGGCTTAATACATTTGAATAAGGGTAGTTAATCGCTCACTTATAACGCCCACTAACCTAACCTAATACTTGCCGTTGCGCGATTTTTCCTTGATATTGTGACAAGCGTCGATTTAAGTCAATCAGTTAGTAGTATTCCCGTGTGATAAAGTTTGTTAAAGAGATCAAACAATATTTAATTACATTACATCAACTTTAGTTTTTTCACACTCATCTCATCAGGACTGAGTTTTTTCCAATTTTTGTTACTTGTATTTTCATTGCATATTCTCGTTCTGCTCTTGATAGACCTGTTATGGCAATCGTTGTAGAGTATTCTATTCTTTCATCTTCTAATTATTCAAACATGTAGTTTTTTGTTTACTTTTATTTGTTCGTTGATATCTAGTCGGTATAATATGTTCCTTTTTGTCTTCTAGACTTTGGGATAGTTGTTTTCGTTTGTTGCCAGCAATCTCTTTGAATTTCTTGTGAACAGTGAACAGAACTTTCAACAGTGATTGTACATGGTGAGTACAACACTATTTATTCGGTTAATTCAAATACCATAAAAAAACGTGTAGTATATTGTCTTGTAAATGAGGCGTACCTATGTACAAATTATAAATAGAAACACACCCCTCACCTTGCTTAAGAATTTTTTGTTTTAGAGATTTTTTTTATATCTGAATAAAACCTCGAATATCTCGCCGTAGTTCATCCTACTTCTAGTTCATTAATACTCATCCTTACAGATTGTGGCGATTCAAATTAATTCCAACGCATTAAGAATTAATTTTTGTTTAAAATTATCATTAAAAATTTGAATTAGAAAAAATCCAATAGCTTAATCATTCCATCACCAACGTATTTTACATCACACCTTTATCCTTCACCTTACAATATGACAAGACAGTACCCACCATTAAAGCAAACATAAGTTTCCTAGCGATGTTTCAACTTACCAGAAATTTGCTGAATTCTATAAAACTCCGACAGATCGGCTCCTGAACACAGAGGGGTATCAATAGCTACGGTGTTATCGAATTTTGAGTAATTAACTTCGTAACCTTGTCTGTCTTTATTATACGATACGACAGATTCGAACCTGTGCCCCCACAGAACTTCACTAGCCACGTAACTCGATCTAGCCTGCGTGGTTTGACCGGTACTTTCTATAGTCCCTTCCAGTATCACTACGATTTCGAATCTTTCGTGTAACATATCACTAGCAGTTAGGTAATAAAAGGGAGAGTTCTCATCGATACGATGGACGATCGTCATCGGCCAAATGAAGAAGAGGTTTCCATCGCAGCCATCTGCGTTCACCTCCAACTCCGTCTGGAAGTTACTGAGAACCTCTCCTTCTTTCGTAGTTTTCGATCGAATGAGTTGTGCTCGAATACTTGCTCCGATAATGTGACTCTTTCGCATGTCTCCTACTCGGAACATAAGGCAGAGGTGGCCTTCTCGCTGACAGATGACAGCGTTCTTTGAGAATTGCAGTGTTTGCGTTCTCAATTTAGGACGCGTCATCTTGGCAAAAACTATGCCTACCATAAACGCTTGGATAATCATTCCGGCTATGCTTTGAAGACACATGAGGAAGATTGCTTCTGGACATTCTTCTGTTGTCGTTCGTACACCATAACCTAAAAAATATATTGATAATTTATAAATGATATTTATAATTAAATAAAAAATGAAAAGAGAATGTTTAAGAGTCAAATTACAAGAAAGTTTAAAAAATTAACATTTCTGGAGTTGGTAGTTACATGATGAAAATTGTTTTTAAATATAATTATGTGTAAAAATAAAACATTACATGTTTGTGTGATTTCAACTGAATTTATATTTTTATTACCTCGATATAATATGTCTCGTTAAATATTATCTTCTCCAGAAGAATATATTGAAATGAAAGTATGTTTCAGATTATTTTAGAATTTATTATTGATTTATTTAAAAAAAAAGATTGACTGTAGACCCGGGCGGATTGAAAAAAATCGACTAAATTTATATGTAAGAGGTGGCATTTGGATTTTTGCAGAAATTATTATAATAAAATTATTATAATAATTAAGTTGTCCTTCCTCTCAAATAAGTCAAGAACATTAACAAATAAATTAAAATATTTAAAAATTACTACAAACATCGATTTTTTTCTACTTTTCTTGATTATAACTTTAAAACAATTTATTTTGTAGCAAAACTGTAATTAAATAAAATAGCAATAAATAAATTTTCTATAAGATACGCCAGTTAAAAATGTTTTAATTGATTACTTTTGCTGTAAAATAGCAATAAATACAAAAAAGAGGGGAAAACAAGCTTTTCCTCATTCATTTTTTTAACTACTTAAATTCCACAAAGCCTTTTTTTAGGGTTGGGTAACAAAAGCAAGAAACTTGAGCCACTAAAGAGAAAAGCCACAATCTTCCAATATTCGGTTGTAAACCACGCTGGCAACAATCTCAACGTTTGCAGGGATACTTTTCTCAAGGTGTTGCAGCCTAAAGCATAAAATTATAGTAGTGTTCCAAAAATTCAAAAACGGTGTATCTCATGTCCCAGTGGAAACCCGAGACGCAAACCACAAGGAAGTTAAGTTTGCTCCGAAAAGAGAAGAACTAAAAAAAATCATCTGTAGTTTTAAAGCTATTGAATCGCATTATTCACGACATCACTCTTCACGTGTCTACCTACCATCAGACCTAAATATCGCCAAAATGAGGAAAATGTTCAATTATGGTACAGAAGAATCTGAGAAGGTTACTCAGAAAAATATTTTGCTGGGATTTTTCAGAAAAATATATTTCTCAGATTTCAACATTGGATTCTCTTATCTTAGAAAAGATTATCCAAGTGGAAAAAACGGAGGAAGAAAAAAGGTGTCTAAAAATGAAAATGTAGTTAAACAAGAAACAGGCCCAAGCTTTCTTCCAACACCAGTGATAAAAACCACAAGGATGTTTTATTTTGAGTTTTGAATGTCAGAAGAACTTTGTTTTGCTAAAAGTAACTCATCAAAGTGCGCACTATTCTCAACAGTTTTACTGTTATAACCTTTTAGTAGTTAAAAGATTGTCAAAAGAATCCCTAAATCCCAGTACTGTCTCAATTTATACCTGGACCGAAGACGAAGCAAAAAATCATCCAAAGAGGTTGCTTATATTGTATTCCATGAGTTCAGATCAGTTCATCTCTCAGGATATGAATCCATTCGTGTGGTGTAGGATGGTTGCGCTGGACAAAATAAGAATATAAAATATTTTAACTATGTTCTGGAAGTTTCTGGATAGCTGTGCTCCAAAAAGCATCAAAAAATTGAAACAGTCTTTCTTGTAATAGGGCACTCATTCCTTCCTGACGACAGAGTATTTGGGATGATAGAGAAAACATTAAAAAAATCAATACAATTTTGACAAACGAAGAATGTCATGAAATTTTTAAGAAATATGGTACGATTAATTTAATTGAAAGGGATTGGGTACAGTTGGACTGGAAACAAGAGCGAAAAGATTTAAGAAAACAGCGGCTCAACTTCATTTAAAAATTTACACCTCCCGACGAATAGTTCTTCGGAAAACTTCTTCTTCTTCTTCTACTTTTTGTAGATCTTTCGATCTGTTTAATTCTGAAGCTGCCTCTGGTTAATTTCTTGGGAGGTAGATTGCCAACTATCCCTCCATCTTTTAGGTGGTCTTCCGGGGGGTCTTGAACCGGGCGGATTGTTTTCTAGGGCAATTTTTGGGAGTCTATTCTCATCCATTCGTCTTACATGGTTGTACCACATCCTCTTGCGCTGCCTTTCCCATCTTACCATATCTTGAATTTTGCACTGCTCTCTAATGTTTGTATTTCTCACTCTGTCTCTTCTTGTTTTCCCCATTATTGTTCTTAGGGTTTTTATTTCGGCAACCCTTAGCATCTGTTTCGTTTTGTTGGTATCATCGCGCACTTCTATGCCATATGTCATGATCGGTCGTATGCAAGTCTTATAGATTCTAATTTTACTATCTGTGCGCATATACGGATTTGACCAGACTATCTCCCGCAGACATCCTGACAGTGCAGATGCTTTGTTGATCTGACTCCTCAGGTCCTTTACTGGGTCGTGGGTGCTTGATATATCTATGCCCAGATATCTGAATTGCATCACCTGTTCTATGGGGTTGTCCTCAACCACTAACTTACATCTGAGCGGATCTTTTGCTATTGTCATACATTTAGTTTTGTTGGTAGAGATGTTCATATTTAGTAGTCGGCTTGTTTGAAAGAACTGAAATAGCTGCCTATTGGACATCATCTTCTGATTCGGCAATAATTGCTGCATCGTCTGCGTAACACACCATACCAATTCTTTTGTTGCCCATTCTATATCCGAGATTAAGAGTTGTTACTTTGTTCTTCGGAAAACTAAATTGAGAAATTTGTAAGGTCAACTGCACTATTGAACAGATCAACCCAAAAGAAATTCGTATTGGTGTGACTCTAAAAGCAGAAAATAATTGATAATTTTATTCAAAATTAATCTCGCGCACCACTTCAAGCGATATTTTTGATTTTACAGAAAAAGTGACGATAAACATTTTTGTTAAAATTATCTCAGCTATATTTTTTATTTAAACTATTTGTATCTACGATGCATAGGTTCTTGCTAAATCGATTTTTTTTCCGTTTTTTCCGATGGTGATTTTAGGAGGAAGTCAGTGGGTAGGAATATTAAGGTGTTTTGATTATTTTTTTTTGCTTTTTTCTTAGAAATTCAGCTTGATCGTATAATTTTTAGAGGTTCAATAGCATTTTCGTCTCTGACAGCTGGCGTATAAATAAATACATTTTTATTTATAACAAACCTAAAGCATCTCAGACATTTGGTAATGCGTTTTTAAGATGGAGTTCGAGTTACGTTGGATTGGTAAACAAAAATAAAGAAAATTGCTTTATGAGAAGACGAGAAAATACAACTTTTTTCCGCATACCGATTTTGATATTTAAAATTCAATTTCCTTCAACCTAATTTTTTTGGTATTTTTTACGGGCAATACCGATTTTTTTCAAACTTCGAACGAAAGAAAAAGTAATGGTTTAAAAATAATTATCCTATTGTTTATAACTTTGCCGAAAATGCTGGTCAACTTTGATCGGTTGTATCTCAGGAACCGCTGCACCTAATTCAACTTTTTTCTTTTATAAGAAACGTCTTGACGAGTCTTTTCCAACGCCGTTTCCTGAATTTAATTTAAGCTAATAGTTACTGAGATATGCCATTTATTTACAAGCCAAAAAATTGTTTATAATTTTAAAACTTTCCTGAGGCCATTCAAATGATCCGGAATAATTCCATAAAGTACTTAGGACAGTTTAAGCGATTTTTTATAAGTAAAAAAAATTGGCAAACTTCTACATCTTCTTCTTAACGTGCCCTATCAAGTCCCCTTGACGTTGGCGATTAACATGGCGAATCTGTCTGTCTCGAGCTATTCTAAAGAGTTGCTCAGCTTTCTTTATTCCTGTCCACTCTCTGATATTTTTCAACCAAGAGGCCTGCTTTTTACCAATTCCTCTGTGTCCTTCGATTTTACCCATCGTAATAAGTTGAAGAATATTATATCGGTCTCCCCTTACTACGTGTCCAAAATAGGCCATCTTTCTACATTTGATGTTATCAAGCAGCTCGCAAGCAGCATTTGCTCTCTCAAGGACTGCCATCTACATCATGGTCTAATTTTTGTTACACAAGGTTTAAAAAAATAAAATTTAGATTGCAAAATTTTTGCCGGTGCAAGGCATGCTCCTCCTCCAAAACTCTCAATTCCATCGCTCTTCTAGTTCCTTCATTCAATGAGCGTCGAGGTCTACCACTTTTTCTTCTTCCAGGGGCTTTCATCTATGAAGTTTTTGGGGCCAACTTTCGTCAGACATTCTCAATAGGTGTCCAAACCATTTTAAACCTTTTCTTTCTATTCTGTCAATGACCGTTTCTGTAGCATTCATGTTATTTCTTATAGATTCGTTGCTCTTGCTTTCCAGCCTTGATGTTCTAGCATTTCTATATGTTAACTTAATTATAATAAAATTTGTAGGATTGTTTTATTGTGTTATAATATTTTCTGGTCCTAACTATAATCTACATGGCTGAAAAACATTGAACAAGAAAAGGCTTGTTTTCCCCTCTTTTTTGTATTCGTTGCTACGTTGCAGCAAGGTTAATAAATTAAAACATTTTTAACCAGCCGTATCTTATAGAAAATTTAATTGTTGGTATTTTATATTATTACAACTTGGATCTAAAATTCATTGTTTATAAATATAATCAAAGACTATTTCTGCAAAAATCCGAATGCCATCCCTCAAATTAATCTCATAACAGATCCACCCTAGTCTACTACTACTTAATGTAAAGAAAACAGTACATTTCCTGTAAAAATTTGGTCGTTTTAGAAACTCCACATTTTTAAATTTGTATATTTCAAACGTTTCTAGCAAATTGAATTTTACTGTTTTTTTAGTGAAAACTTCTATACTACAGTTTGAGAAAAGTATACCCTGTTGGAATTACAACTTGGGATCAACATGAAATCGGTTAATGAAATGTACCTAGTGATAATTTAGATTCTTTTTATTCTTCATCATTAACTTTTTGTTCTTTCAACAGACCTTGACTGTACATTTCTGGACGTAGGCCCCGTATTTGTCTTATGCTACCTAGTAAAATTGTCTTCCCGCCTTTTCTTTCACATCGTACAACTATCTTTTTGAAGGTTGACCCACACTTCTCTTATGTAATTTAGGTATCCACTTTATAATGCCTTTATAAAAATGAATTGTCTATTTATTTACTGATCTCGTTCATTTTTCAGTAAGTAAATTAGTAAGTAATAATTATTAAGAACCCAGCATGTCCTTATTGAAATCGCGTCCTTGTTGGTGCCTATGTCTACGACATAACTCTTAAAAAAAATTTAATAATCTTGGAACTTTATTTCTTGGTTCTTATTGGTGTAAGGAAAAACCCTGTTTTCCTAGGGGCAATATGTCTTTTTCTTCTTTACATATTAATTTTTTTGAAGCTTTTTGTCTTCAAGGGTCGGATCCTAGAATCTTCAAACTTTGTATATAGTTTCTTCTTGGTGAAAGGAAAAATACTTTTTAATTTATGTCAATAAAATCTTCGTCATATTGGACTTTTTCTTTTTCTTGGAATTAAGTCTTAAAACTTGATATATCTGTGCATTGAATAATCTCATTCAATTTTGGTTCAATAGGTTCTTTTATGGGATTGTGTTCCAAAACTTTTACCCAATTATTTTATTTTTTATTATCAACAGGACAAAGGTCATTAAAGCTATATAAGTTACGTTTAATCATTCTGTCAGGTCCATCGATATTCCTGTTTTTTTTTCTTTTTTCATGCTTCTTGCGTGCTATTTTCACGCTATATTCCTTGTACCTTAGTATATAATATTGACTCGCAATAACCTTTATATTTCTTTGTATTTATATTCCAGTTTGAAAGGCACTATAAAAAAATTCCTTACGCCAATTATGCATGATGAACGTTTATCATTTAGTACCCATTAGCATTTTTGACATTTTTTTGACTTGACACTTTGACAGCCTGCTGCCAAAAACTAAATAGTACATATTAACTATATTAATAGATTATTGTTACATTATATTGATTGCATTATTGTTCTTACCTATAGTATGTTGCGTTTCTATAGAAAATAAGAAACATGAAGTAAACCCATGAATATTAAAAACACACGGTGTCCAATTGGCATCCGTCTGTTTGGCCGGTAAGTGATCGTCTTCAAGATCACCGTGTGTAAAAACAATCAACCACCATACTAGAGCAAATAGGAGCCACGAGCCCAAGAATCCTATGGCGAATATAGTAAGCGTCCATCGCCATTGTGAATCTACTAAGGTCGTGAAGATATCTTGAAGATATCGAAGTCTGCGTTTCGAGATTCTTGATTGTAGGATGTTACAGTCTCCATTCTTGAAAACTGCTCGTCTACGCATTTTTCTTATGGCATTTGGTCGAAATGAGCGTCTGAAAATAAATAAATTTATAAATAATACAGCCAAAAATGTTTTTAGATGTTGAAATTAAAAAAAATAGTATTAGACTATTCAATTACTCCATTTTAAATTTTAAATTTTTAAATTTTGATGTTTTGTTGTAAATATAGTTTTATATTTTCTAATTTAATAGTTTCTATTGCGATAATATCTGTTATCTGTATCTATTTATGGTTTGTCAAGCTTTTCTAGACCTAGATTCTCCTATCATTGAGGTAATTTATACACATTTGATCTCACATATTTTGTTTTTTATCTTTTTAATTTCTTTTTTTACTACTTATGTATTTATATCAGTTATAAATTTTTCGGTCTTTATCATTATTTAAGCATTTTAGATATAAGTTCTTTTTTCCCCAGTTTTCTTAAATCGTGCTGTTTCGTGTATTTTCTGTTCTAAAATTTTGTACATTTTTTTCTTTAACATTGATATCTTTGCCTAATTTTTGTCATAAACTTAGTTTGTGAAGGAAACTAGTGGAGCTAAATTTTTGGAACCGGATTAGGTAGGTAATAAATGAACTTTCAATAATCAATAGGTTTTGTCTAGAATTCTTGACTAAAATATAAAGGTAGAGTATTTGCAAATAAATTCTTTAAAATTTAGTATAAGTTAACGTGACCTTGTTTGAAAATCATCTTTCTTCTCTTACATACACATAGGGTTGAGAATAAGACACAGTAGTACTATTGATTGTGAGCTTTTAGCTTCTAACATTTACAACTTCAAGAAAGCCAATGTAGTACATGCAAATATTTACGAAAAGAAATGTCTAACATTAATTTTTTTCATTATAAACATGTCAATCAACTTAATGTCACGAAAAGAACTAATATTTAAACATCGTTGATAAGGCATATTAAATTAAATTAATACTCCAGTACAAACCGGTTTTACACGGAGAAATATAAAATGTTTAATATCATTGACGTATTTTGACATGTGACATAGCACATTTATTGTTTCAAATGAACGAGAACAATAAATTATGCGAAGGTTTTAAATATCATGTCATTTGAGCATGTAGGTGAATGCTTCTATTGTTAATAGTGTTGGTTAATGATTTGAACTAGTTTCGAAACAACATTAGATTTTATCTTCACCGAAAATAGAACAGTCAGAAATATTGGACAAGTTAAATAACTAAAAAAATAACACTCTTATTGCTATATCCAATATATGATGGGATAAGATAGAACGATTAAATAATATTGGGACTGCTACTTAAGTCTGGAGATATGGCATCAGGCATATAAAAAATGGTGAATATTGCATCAACATCATACTAAAATTTGATATGTATTATGAAATTTTAATAGTATATGAGCGTGTTATAATTTGAATCATATTTGTCTTGAAGAGACTACAAGAGAAAAAAAACTACAATGATTCAAAAGATTGGATTCAATTGTGACCATTTACATAGAATGATTTTATATGCTTTTCGATATGAATTGAGACAACAAAAGTGAATCGATCAATTTGATTCCATAGTTTTTCCAGAACAAACTTAATTACAATTGAATCACATATTTCAGAAACGCCATAACTCCATTTTATAAAATGTTGAGAAATTAGAAAAAACCTTATTTCATGAAATATTTTTAAAAACCTGTTGTGCTTTTGTAATAAAATCATGAGATTAATGTGTTTTTAATCAGTTTGCATAAAAAGTGGTGAATTTTAGCTTTATATTATGTTTTTTTTTCCTTTTTTACTTTTGTGGATTTTTGGGGTTTTTGAAATATACACATTTTTCAAAGATGTAAAAATAAGAAAACAAGTTTTATATAAACATTTATTCAAAAATATGGGCATACAGAATAATATATCAGTAGTAATCACTCATCTGGTTGTATTATTTCATTTGAATCTCCCTCGCATGTTGGCAAATTAAAAATTTCTCCGTAAAAGTCCTTGACTTCTTCATTATCTGGTAGATACTTTTCCAGTTTTCTCAAGTCTTGCATCTTCTTGATATTAATAGGAATATGTCCTTCGGTGTACGCTTTTCTGGTAGGGAAACTAATAACATCCTTGTTGCTATTTCGTAGCCGAAAAGAATGATGTATCAAGCCATCTATGTACTCTTTTGCAATAACAATTCCATCGTGATCACTCGAATGAATAAAGTGTCGAAAGTTGGATATTTTAAAAGCAATTTTTTGATCTCTTGGGATATTTCTGCCCAAAGATTCATTGGAGAGCATTGTCTTTTTAAAATACGTGGGCCACCATCCTTTAAAATTCAATATGTCATCAGAATTCGGCAAAACTACAGTAAATCGGTTTAAACTCTTGTTAGATGTTATGATAAGCTCTACATACTCTTTTAAGGTATAAATCCTGTCTGATTTTTTAATTTTCCTTTTAAGAACGGAAAAATCCCGATCACACGGTAGAAATGAATGTCCCCGTGTGGGATAATATTGTTCAATCTTTTTGAATCTATTGGTTGAAACTAATGCAGAAAAAAGTCTAACTATTGTATGGTTCTTGTTCTGGGCGGCACATGCATCAGAAAAGAAGTGAAAATGGTTAATATTTTTAAATTCTGGATTGTTGTCAAGAAAATGTAATAAAAATGATACAACTTCATTAGGCCCTTTAGTTCCTGTTCCCTCATGATACACATAGAATGTTACCTTATCATCTTTCAGATTATGAATACATAAAACATTAACAGTAAGTTGTCTTAAATAGAATGTTTCCTGGACAGGAATAACTGGTAGTTGCAGGTTTTGCATATAATCAATGCAAATACCACCTACATTCTCATCTACTTTACAAAGTTCTGAAATGGTTTTAAGTTTGTTATAAAATTTGTTTGCCCGTTTCTTATGAACCATTTTTTCTGCCAGTGCCACTCTTTTTGCTGTTTCATTTAAGAATTTACTTTTTATTTTAGTTTCTAACTCTTCACATGTAGAGCAGGTGTCGACTTGTGGGCGACCGAAAGATAATGAAAATTGTTCTTTAAAAATCTTTTGATAATATGAATATTTAACGTTTTGTTCTGGGTGAACCTCTTTAAACAACTTATACATTATAAAAATATTTAATTTTTCATTTAGATACCTATATTCTCTACTAGTATAATGGGCCGTTTTGACCGGAAACGAAGCAATATGTTGTATGATTGAATCTATAACAAGTCCTGACTTCGCATTGCCAGATTTATTTTTACCTCGTTTATCTATAGGAACTTGCCCCTCTCGTCTTAACGTGGTTAAGCGACGCAACCGATCATTAGTAATTCCAAAAATGGCAATAAAAGCTTTTCTACAGATTTTATTTGTACCTGTTGGTCCCTGAATTGTATATTTAAAAGAAGCTAGTCTATCAGGCTTGCAAGAAATATCAGCTGGTTTTTTGCGCCTTCGACGTGCAACTTCATGGACTGAAATAAGCGATTGTAGCAAACAATCTTGTTCGTTCTTGGTGTTAAGGCTCCTGAAGTTTCGGAATAATTGAATGCGTGCTTCTTCAGAAATTTGTAAAAAGCATTTTTGGCGACATCTAAAAATAAGTATCATTCAAATTACGATAATAAAATATTAGATATTGTCTAGCTAGTTAGTAATATTTTAAAGTTTTAAGGCTTACTTGCAGTCTGGTCCTTGGTTCACTTCAGGCGCCAAGACACCACTCCAGCGTTTATAGGCAGACCCTTTAACTCTAGAGTTTTTAATAACTTCTCTTTTATATTCACTGATATTACGTATTCCACGCTTTTTTTTGCGCGTTGAAGACTGATTTTCAATTTCCATTACTTAAATTATTATTAATTTTTACTGTAATAACAACTAACCATATGTAGAGATCACAAATAAATAATGTGCATAACCTCAAAAACAAAAACCTGTCATGTCAAAAATCAGTGTGTTCAAATATTATATTTTAGAAACACCAAAATTCCTGGAGTTTTGGTGTTTCTGCAATACATGAAATTTTCATCTGGCAACAAATGTATGTAAATTTAGTGAGTTTTGGGGTTTCTGTTTACTGTTAAGTGCGTATACCTATATACTACCAAAAATTACAGAAAACTGTAATTTCATAAATTTGTGATTTTTGGGGTTTCTGAAATACGTGATTCAATTAGTTCCAAAATCAATATCGTGAACGTCGTTCAAAAAATACTGTTTTGTCGAAAAATGGCAATGATGTGCATAAAAAATTATTGTAAGACCATATAATGTAATATAGCGTGAGATTGGGAACTAATTACAGCTGGCATATTTCTTATTTAATTAATATTTTGTGATATATAATGATTTTGCGATAAAAAATTTGTTAGCATTGCATATCGACTAATTCGTTGATACAAACAATTGACACAAAAGGCGCACGTCGATTGAAAGTTGTAAATCGTGTTAGATACACAATTTACAACTCAAGAACGGCTGTAGCGTTTTATTAATCTTGATGTTCGGGTATTTTTTAGGAATTGGTAACACTGAATCAACTGTCAACTTAGGAAGCAAGCCAAGTGATTCCTGATCATTTGGATGTGCTCTTAACTAATTAAAGTAAATTGTGTATGTTTCCTGGTGAATGTTCGTGGTGGCGATATTATTTCAATTACTTCATCATTTAGTGCAGCATATAAAAAGATCAATTTGTTTAAAAACAATAATTATTATCTGAAGCAATCTTTTCTGCATCTCCTAGTCAAATACGCTTATTATTTGTTATAATTATTTCGGCATGCTTCTCATCGAAGCCACATAAATTGTGGAACAAGTACAAGAATGACATGTCTAGAGGTAAATGAGGAGTGAGGAAGAAGGAGAATAACCAGGCTTTGTTTTTGATCAAAGACAACATTTATTACGCCATATGCAGCAGTTTGTTAATCAGGTATATATGATACAGATGCATTGAATGATGAATGAATGTACCAATGTTAGGATTCGCAATAGGTTATTAAAATTGATTCATCTTCAGATGAGTTCTCCAAGCAATCG